CGAGCGAGCTGGCAGTGTCCCAGCCTCTCTAAAATCATGGCTTTTCTGCCCTGAAATACTGGAATTGAGTGAAAATTCCACGGAAAATGTGGAGTTGAGCAGAGGCGGCCACGGAGCATCGCTGAGCCTGCTCTACCTCCAGCCCTTCCTTAGGGCTCCCGTGGCTGAGCAAAGATGCTGCTGCAGCAGTTCAATATACACCCACATACATATATAAGGGTGCATATATATTTTTTTCCAAGTTATCCCACTCCATGACCTCCTAACCCTGGCAGATTTCCCTGCTGACCTGCCTCTTGCAGCACACTCCGAAGTTATTAACTTTAACAGGAGCCAGTTTGAACTCGCACCCCATAATCAGGGCTGTGGCCGTAAGAAACAGCCCGTGTTGTGGCCAGGGACCTTAGTAATAAAAAATGGTTTCTTGAAAGAAATTTGGACGTTCGTTCCCTGCAATATCTCCCCTCCTCCACGTTTAAGAGGTTTGATTTTGATGTTGAAAGTGCTGCATTTGGTTATTGGGGGAAAGGGCTGCGGTTCTCCTCCAGGGAGGGGGGGAAGAATAAAGTGAAAATAAGTCCTTGACAGCAGAAATCTCTCCCAATCCATCAGCCAGATTTGCCACGACCTGCTGAGGAAATCGCTCCTTCCATTCCATTTTAAAGGAATTAATTCTATTTATTGGAGAAAAACGAGAGGAAACAGCCAGCAAGGAACACCGTGGGCAATTCCTGCGGGAAGGAGAGAGAGGGCAGCGAGAAAGTGCGATTGTTCTTTTGAAAGAGGGCTTTTGAGCAGCACGTTACTGGGGATTAGGGAAAGCTCTCTGGAGGGGATTAGGGTTTCACTAAAAAGCTCCCTTCTCACCAGCCTTCAAAGCTGCCTTTTCCTCCCAAGGCTGGGCCGAGCAAAGGTGAGCCCCAAATTCCCAAATTCCCATAAGGATACCAGGGCTGGAGCAGCTGCATCCATCACCCCTCCAGGCTCATCTGACCACAGCCCCTTCCTCCTGCCAGCGACCTGTGGGTGCCACAAGCCCTTCCCTCCCAGTTTGTCTCCCCCGTTCTGAGAAGGGGGAAAAGCTGCTGCTCCCAGTACCCTGCCCAGTGCCAACTGGAGGCTCCCAGACAGGCGCAGGGCAGCACTCTGAGCTCAGCGCTTCATCCCACGTGTGGGCACAGGTGGATCACGACACTTTTTTGCTCCCGGAGGACTAAGGAGGACTGGAGCACCAGTTGTAGCAGCTACAGGGAAGAGAGTGCTCCGCACGACCCTGGGGAAATAACTCCTGTAAGGGCTGAGGGGTGGCTCACCAGCACAGAGCATTTCCCTGAGCTCATCCTCTTCCTCATGGGGAGGAGCACCTGCTCCCCCCTCTGCATCGCTTCAAATCCGGAATCCAGCCGGCTGCTCTGCACAAGTCTGGCAAAGCTGCTCCGGAGAGCGCGGAGGGTGGCAGCTTTGCCCAATTGCCCAGGGGGAAGCTGGAGAGTTGGGAGATGACCATGGGATGCAGAGAGAGGCTGAAGGCTGGAGATAGCAGGCTGCCCTCTTGTCTTCATTTCAACACCTTGGCTGGTGGGCTGGCAGCAGGTGAGGAATGATCTCCGGCTGACCTCGGAGCGGATGCTACGACACGGAGAGACAGCAGAAATAGGTTTTCCTGCTTAAACGAGCAGAGAGACACTGAGGACTGAATGGCCTGTGATGGCTCAGCATTTCTTCCTCCTCCTCCTCCTCGCTTCTCCCCCAGATAGATGACAATTATAATCCTCCTCCTACGGGAAGCTCTAGAATGGCTTCCGCACACTTGCCGCGGTCCAGAGCCCTCTTTGGAAAACCAGGACTTCGGCTTAAGGAAAAAAAAAATATCCTAGCAAGAACTTCTACAAGCAGCACGTTAATTCTGCTCAATCATTCCCGCAGCCTGCCCACGCTGCCAGCAGGATCCCTCCCACCACGCGGGTTATTTCCAGCCGCCTCTGCTCCCGGGCACCGAGCGGCCAGCCCAGCTCTGCTTCGGCCTCATCCCAGCGAGGATGAAGCATCACCAACCCTGCTCCATCGCGCCGGACCGAGCCACCGGCCACGGCCTCACAGGAGCCCTCCCTCTCCATTGCTTTGGACTCAGTGGACACCCTCTGCCTCTCCCGAGTCCTTCTTAATATCAGAAGCGGAGGAAAAAGTCACAATCCTCCGTCCTGCGAGCACGCAGCACACCAGTTGCCCTCACTGTGGTGGGATTTACACACCAGCACACCTTGCTAGCAGCGCACTGGAAGGGCTGTTTCTGACCAGTCACAGGGTTTTGTTTTTCAAAGAAGTTCAGATGCACAAGAAGGACACGGAGCTGCTGGAGCGGGGCCAGAGGAGGCCACGGAGATGATGGGAGGGCTGGAGCACCTCTGCTCTGGAGACAGGCTGGGGGGGGTGG